CCCCCGCCCCGCCGCCGCGGCGCCCCCTCCGCATACTCCCCGCAGTGAGACACGCGGGCTTCTCCGCCCGGTGCTGCAGCCACGGCGTCCCCTCCACATACTCCCCGCAGTGAGACACGCGGGCTTCTCCGCCTGGTGCTGCAGCCACGGCGTCCCCTCCACATACTCCCCGCAGTGAGACGCATGGGCTTCGTAGAGACAGCATGGATAGCGCCCCGATGTGACAGGATTGAGGACTGAAAGCAGGCGTGTGGATGATAAAACACACGGCATTGGTGGGAAGGCAGCGCAGCAGGGCGTCAGGAGAGGCCTGGTGTGTTTTCTGTGCAAACGAGTGTCAGGACTTCCCGACGACCTAATGTAGCATCCATGTAACGATTCTTCGGGTCATAATGAACAGGTGGAGCTGCAAAAAATAAAGCGATCAGCGCTAGGCTAGTGCTCAGGGCCAGGTCTGTTGGTAAGCGGAGAAGGAAGCACCGTGGTCGAGCTTAGAGGCGCCCCTGTCTGAGTCACCGACGGTCACAGGTCGGAAACGAGACATCGGCACATTCTGCAAGGTCGGACCTTGGTGATAGGGCACTGTCCGTGTCCCCCCACGGTCCAGGGCCCGAGCCGTCAGGGAGCACAGCAGCAGACGCGACTGCCGTGGAAGCCTCTGCACGCTGAGGCAGGCGTCAGGTGTCCATCAGAAAGACCTTGGGGACCTTGCCGTCAGTGGCGACAAGGAAGAATGGAGGGTGAAGGCACTTTGGTTAGCGGCCATTGGGCAGTTGCTTTGCTCGGTGCCCGAGAAGAGCGGGAGGAAACTGGGCCAGGCCAGAGTAAGTCAGTGATTCAGCGTGACGTTTTCTCAACAGTCTTCATGTCGTAATTGAAAACTTGTAGTCGTAAACGCTGTTTATACAGGGGATGGCAGTAAATATGGGAATATTTTAAAACCACCTTCAGGGGCCAGGCAGGGTGCAGCGGTAGCACAACAGGACCCTCACGGAAAAGGCCCTGGGTTTGCATCCCAGGACCGCCGTGAGCACGTGGGGTGCACGCATGTGCCCGTGGTCTGGGCAGGTTGAAACTGGGATGGGTTGCCCAGGAAGGCCCTGTTGGGGGTACATGCCCCCTCCTCAGAACGAGTCAGTACATAAACTCTGAAGAAAGCCTTACGATAAGATTTAGTGAGAGCCCGGGACCAGCAGCTGGTGTAATGGCTATGTCGCTGGACTCCCATGTAGCTGACCGCGGTTCGAGTCCTGAACCCGGTGGCTTAAACTCACACCAGCTGCATGTGCGTGTGCATGTGTGCCCAAGATCCCGAGAGGAGAATGGAGCAGAAGGGACTGTGGCGTGGCCATCCCCCCTGGGGGTGATTTCTCACTTTCTGTCTCTCTGTCTCTTTCTCTTTCTGGCGAGCACACACGCCCTGTAGCAGAAACCTCTCTTAAAAAAAGTAAATAAATAAAATGTATTGAGAGCCCTGTTTTCTGTGCCTTTGCCAGTATGGCAGTTATGTCCCCACGTGTTAAAGGAGGTTCACATCCCTTCTGTACACCCATCGGGTATGAAAAAATATTTAGCAACTTGGGGATACGTTTTTATTCCTCATTATTTCTCCTTCATCACTAGGCTTTTCTTACCATTGCTCACAAGCCCTTTCCCGGTGACATGGCCATGCGTTTAGGGTAGCCAGAGTGCGTCAGACTCCCTGCCGCCAGACCCTGCAGTTCTGGCATCCCTGGCACCTTCCCTAAATGCCAGCTGCGTGCCCAGCCGTCCTATGCAGAGCAGAGTGTCACACGTCCCCAGCCAGTCCTCCGTGACGCGCCCAGGGGATCGGCCCCAGCACCGCTGCCTGACGAGACGGGGCTGAACGAGGGGCGTGGAGCTGTCTGTCCTAGACCACCTGCCTGCCCTGCCCCTGTATCAGCCTTCCGCCCTTGGCACGAGGAGGCCTAGGGCACTGTTCTGCTGCTTTCTGGCCGAGATGAGCAGTCGCTCCCTACAC